GCAGACAGTCAGCCAGCTCCTCCTGTTTCATCATTCTCAGGAAGTTAACTGCAAGTTTCAGAAATGCCTCTCTGCTGCTCCTTCTCTGCTTCTCTTCCTCACTGTCCAACAGCTCCTCTTCATCCCTCTGACACTCTGAATAATCTGGATTCATATCCTTCTGCATCTTCTTTAGCTCGTTCTTCACAAACATGATAATGTTTTCCTCCAGCCTCTGGAAAATAAATGACACAATCTAAATTCATAAATAAATAAGATCTTCATAGTAAAAATAATTTTTCACAGATTTGTTTTGTGTGTGTTTTCAATTTAACAAAGGAAACAATAAAATAATAACATAAATTAAATTAAATAATTTTAAGTACTTGGTTATTTCATGGTAAATTTCAAGAAAAACAAACAATATTTTCCCATCTTACATCTTATGTACCTTGTAGTTTCCTGCAAATTCCACATAAGTACAGGGTACTTGCGCCTTATTTTTAGGTCGTGTTATAAAGTTATGCTGAAGCTTTGTTTTGAAAAGTGCTTTATAAATACAAATAAACTAAAAAAATAATTCACTGTTGAATTATTTCTGGAATTTTGCCATTATTTTATGATGAATATTGGACTGTGCAACATGAAAATAATTACAAACAGAGGTTTGTGTACATGTACAAACCTTAAATATTGAGTCCAGATCAGTTTGATGCTGCTGATTATGATGAAGACTCTCCTGATCAGCTCTGTGAAGACATCATGAAGAAATTTGAACCATTTTGCACATAAATACAAGCCAGAGATTTCTTCTTCTACTGTTAGATGATCATCCTTATTAAAACAAGCACTACTGTGCTGTAACAAACCTATTATGTTAATTTATATACTTATTTATTGGACTAACAGGTCAGTGATGGTTCTGTACCAGTGTTCTTGTAATGACCATATTATGGATATTTCCTGCACATTGCATCATCACATTAAAAAAGTCAGATTTGTGTTGTTGTGTTGAAGTGTTTCATTTTAAATTTGACCTTTGTGCCTTTAAAATACAAGGAAGAGCATGTTAGAGCAGCAGCTGAATTTTTTTCTAAGGAAAAAAATTTAAATTCCCATTAAAAAATCGTATGATGACACTTTGAATCAGCCTACACTCGGCTACATCTGTGGTGTTCAGTGTCCAGATGCTGAACAACAAAATTATTATCTTACTACATCCTAACCCATTTTGTCATGTTATTTCATGCAGGTCATATAAAAAAGAACCACTGGTGAAAAATGTAATGTAAATATTAAGGTTAAACAAAAAAAGATTTGCTGTGGTCCTTATTAGTTTTGTTGATGATTGTCATGGTGATGGGATGGTGTGTCATTATGAATTATGAGAATCATTTAATATTTAGAGAAATCCAGCAGCTCATATCGTGGCATCCAGCACATACACCTGCAGATCATTTCACCTTCCTATGCAAAACTGGCAACCGCATCATACTGAAACTCTTATTTACTAAATAAAAGAGTCAAACTAACTGCTGACACATTCCTGCTGATTACCACATAAATTATAATCAGTGTGATGCCCAGTGCAGGGAATGCAGGGCTGTTAAAATAGATTTATTTTTCTTTTAAATTAGCAGCCTCACTTATGGAGCTCTTTAATCTCAGGACTGAGGCCAGGTGTACCACAGAGCTGTAAGGTAAATGTGAAACATCTTACTCCTCAGCAGCAGCAGCAGCAGACTTTGTTCCTTTAAAGTTAAAGATGGCATCCTTTGACTGATCACTCTTCAAAGACACACAGCTGGGTCCAGGTTCAGGTTCAGGGGCATCTGGTGTCTCAGTGATCCTGGTGAACAGAGGAAAAGACCATCAGGCAGAGAAATTACATTTTTAGCCTTCAGACACAAAAAGTACTGGATAAACCTGGAGCTAGTCACAGTAATAATATTACAGTAAGGCTAAAAAGTTTTATGCTCTTCACAATGTTCTCTTTAGTCTGTTTGTTTATCCAGCTGTCTTTTCTTCTTTTTGTGAAAAAAACTAAAAAAAAAAAAAAAAATAAATGACTAAACCAAACCTTCTCACTGTTTACTCATGGATACGTTTAACATTTTGTTAAGTCTTACCTCTCATCAGGAGTCAGTTTCCTGCTTTTAAAGTCAGGGCGATCTTCCTGTGGAGAGCTGAGTCTCGTCTCAGGCTCAGGAGAGTCTGGTCTGAGGAGTGAGGAAAAGAATAAGGCAGGGTTATATATATACACTTTTTTAATCTCCAGGTGGAACATACGCTGGAAAAACTTTGCAGGGTTAAATTGAATTAACAAAACAGAGAGCAGGTTTGTTGTAGAGAGTTACTGCATGTATGAAATCACTTCTGTATTTGTTTTTAGCAGTGAAGATAATGTGAGGTTTTGAGTGTGATACCTTTCCATGTTGGTAAAAACCTGCAGTCACCTGATGGAAGAGAAAAGTGAGAATAAAACACAGATTTTATTTTTTTCTGTTTATTGAGATATTTGATAGGGAGAAGGTGGTAACTTGTTTAAGTATAATAATAGTTTTATATTATATTATATTATATTATATTATATTATAAAAAAACATTAAAAAAAACCTTAAATGATATAAATCAGATCAAAGATTCACTTTTTCATCATCTTCCTGAAC